ATCGTGCAAAATGAAATCAGATTCATCTTGCACAAGTAAAGACTTTAAGGGCAAATTCTATGGGAAAGGCCTTGAAGTTTGAACAATTTAAATTTGCCTGTAATTAATAAATGAAATTCAATAAAAGCTCTTACAATTTATACTTAAGGTCAACTCAAATATAACACCATACATAAAATCCTTGTGATAATATTCTTAAACATTAAAATCTGACCTAATGCGTTTCCTTGACCCAAAAATAAGAATTCTATAAAATTGGGGAAACTGTGTTGCTCTCTCACGTGAATGTTTTGCTATATTGTAGACGGTTGTTTACCACTCTGCTCTGAAGACGAATGCAGGGAATCAGGGAGTTTGCAAGGGGATATTAACTACAATCATGAGATAAGTTGTGCTCATTCCTCCATTGACACCACATCATACTTATAGGAAAGCTACGCCATTCTACACTCGAATCTCCAAGCGTGATTTCGAAGAGAATTTCAATGCTGTCTTTGAAGGGCTACGCAAGGCGTATTGGTAGTACATCAACCGGTTCGCCTACAACGGTGGACATATATGGGTCAGTGAGAAGAAATTCTACGAATTGGGTAAGTGAAATTGTTAGCGATCATGTCCACCAGCAACTCACCAGTATCATACCTTAGTAATTACTTCATCTTCTTTTTCTTCTTCTTCTTCTTCTTCATCCTACTAGTCTTTGAAATGTTTCCCACCTTGCTGCCCTTCGGAGCTGCCGACAAGTGGGTCTTGAGATACTACGACTACGTAAGGCACACGCGCTCCACACCTATTGTCATAGGTGTCATTTTTGATGTGGATTGGAGGCATTGTCTACTGGGGAGGGGCTTCTATAGCCCACAGTGGCATTTCCCAGGTGGGAAGTTGGAGAGCGATGAATCCCATGTCAACTGTCTGATAAGGGAGTTGAAGGAGGAGCTCTTCTTTAACATGTCCTTATATATCAAGAGGAACCGGTGTGTCTTCATTGCACTTGCCTCAAGGAACGTCTGTGCCTACTTTGTGGAGTCCGTGCCTACCAATGTGGCTTTCAAACCAGCCACGAGATATGAAATAAAGGTGAGTGAGTAAGTGGGTGAGTGAGTTGAACCACAATTCCCAACGTTCTTACCCCTTCCAGTAAACCTCATACCCCAAACCCCACGCACTTCATCGCAAACACACACAACCCCACTTATTCAGACACACACTCATTCCCTTCCTCCCTCCCCCTCTCTCTCCTTCCCTCCCACCCGCCCTCCCTTCCCCCTCCCTCCTCCCTCCTTACTTCATCACTCCTTTCCTCCTCCCTTCAAGTCCACAACTTCTACTTCTGCTACTACCATTTCCCTCTTGTCTTTCTATTTTAGTCACTCGCATGGTTTCATCTCGACCTGTTAGTTGGCTTCCTCGATGGCTATAATGATGGTGGTTGGCACAGAACCGCCTCCTTCACTCCGATAGAGCCCCTCCTAAGGTTAGTAGTAACCTCAACTCACTTATACTCCTCTCTCTCTTCCCCTATACCACATCTTCAACCACAACTAATATTATGCTCTCCATTGCAGATGCGCTCAAGAGTTCGCGGCTCTACGTAGGAGGAACGTGCCACCCCTTGAGGCTTTGAGAAGAGCACGTCCAGCTAAGACCTCAGAGGAGGATGTGTGAAAGGTCAATGCCAGCATTCTCACCACTCCCACAACTCCCATCGCTTGTCTCGCTGTGGAAGC